GGTTCATGACTTTGCGCTGCAATGCTTGGATGCCTTTGACACACTGTGCTAACCTAAGTCCCTCCTAACAAGTGCAGCTTGCATACATAAAGCAACAGATTCAGCTGTGCAGTGCTGTTTGCCCAGCCTTTCAGCAGCACAGCATCTTCAAACACCACTGCAGACATCAGACCGTGTCTGCCGAGGAGGAGGTTGGTGTTTGTCAGCGAGGCTCGACTTAATGATGCACAATGCGCCAACGCCTGCATTTAATTAACTTTTCTTGGTTGGCCTCACAGAGTTGTTTTCTGCTATCTGATCGTGTCTGCGTGAACCCTGTTGTGATTTCATGAGGGAAGGAGGCCTGCAGCCACAGCTCTCATAAACAAAACCGCCCTGGTTTATAAAGGCTCTGTTGATAGGAACAAAGATAGCATGGTATCCATGAATAGATAAAACACAGCACAAAGATGCTTTCTGGAGCTAGATATCTGGAGAGTAATCCTAAAGGAAAGAATGCCACTCTTCTAAATGAACAGTTAAAACTGTTCAATAAAGGGAGGAAAGAGGCCAATAAGAGAAGATTATTTGCAAATTAATGCTTTTATCTATACCACATGGTGTCTTTCCCAGTGGCACTGCTAGAATTTAATAGTATGATTTCACAAGAAAGGATAAAAACTTGTCTTTGTTTAGCTGCTTTCAGGAGCCAGTTTGTTTAAACCTTCCAACAAGGAAGATATACAAGCTGATGTTTTACATGAGCTGCTTTACTATCACTAAAAATGCAAAACATAATATGACATATTCCCACTTATCCAATTATACTACACTTAATATATAAATACAAGGACTGTTCAAGAGTAAGTGAAGGATTTCTGTCTTGGAGATCACCTAAAAAATTCCTTTTTGATGTTTTTTTCTTTCCTTTTCATACAAACACATTCTAGGCATAATTGTCAAGAAAAAAATACAAACACAGGTAAACTCTTTTGCTTATACTTCTAACCCAGATACCAAAACCTACATGAACGTGTGAATGCCATATCCCTCTTCAGCCCCAGCTGTGTCACTACACACACTCTCATTGCAAAGCCTATTCCTTATATTATTATTTTCCTTCTATATATCTCACTTAATTAAGATGTTATTTGCTTCCTGTGCTGCGTGCAACAGCTCCTCAGCATTTATTGGGGAGCAATCATTTCCAAACTTATAGTGTGTCAGATTTTCTACTAGGGTCTGCAGCTCACATGCATATTCACCTTTCATATCAAGTTTTTTTAGCTGTAAGCTTTCAAGCTTCAAGAATTTTAGATGGGTGAAAATGTCAGTTCCTCCAACTGTAATATAGAGGTAATGATGTACCAGAAGATAAATAAATGACATCTAAATCATTTTACCTCTCAAAATGCAAAACAAAATATGACATATTCCCACTTACCAGTTAAACTACATTTAATATATAAATACAAGGACTGTTCAAGAGTAAGTGAAGGATTTCCGTCTTAGAGATCACCTAAAAATCACCAGAACTCTCAAAGTTCTGGCTTTGCAAAGGAAGGGTCCAGGAAAACTAACTCAGGTTTGGTTTGGTTTTTTTTGGCTTATCCTTATGCCATTAAAATAAACATAAAACAATATGTTCCTTTTAACCACTTGATGAATCAGTGCAGCTCAGAAAACTGATAAAAGGTTTGTGGAAATAAATTAATATTGCATGAATGCTGCTGGAGCTATTAAACAAACATAAGTGAGAACCCATCACTGAAGCCATAAAACACCTTTATATCATGAGGGAAAGGAGCAGAAAAGTCAACAACCATTATTACAGCAGGTACTTTGCCCTGTGAAAATGGCATGTGACCTAAACAGATGCAAGCAATTATTATCTCTGATATAAACAGTTATACTCCTTATCTCAGATATTACAACTGGATTACATTGCTTTTAACAATAAAAAAAAATTCTTTTAACACCAATTTTTTTTACTCATAATGTCCTAGTTAGGGCAGCCAGGACCAGTTCATCACTGTGTGGGTGTAACCCAAACTGTGTATTCTACACCCTCTATGTCATTTCCCAGGAATTGTTAACAACAGACCATTTGCAGCAGCTGCCCAGAGCACACCTGACCCCTCAGGCTATAGGCTGGGTGTTGGGAAGCCTGTGAGATAAGAGGATGTTCCTGTCCTCATACCAATGACTCAGGTGTGATGACTCCCTTCCAGGGAGTCATTAGCACCTCCACACCCAGCCTGAGGGGTTATGTCTGCTAACAGGCTACCAAGGATTCCAAAAATATCTCATAACTCACAATCACCCATTGTGGAACTTCCAGCCCTGGGGGAGGTACTGGAAATTCCCACTCAAACCTGAGTCTTGGGGTCTTGGGACTTCTGGGCCCACTCGTTGGATCCAGAGGAGGAGCAGAACCTCGACTGGATGGCGACCAGCACCCTCGACCAAACTGCGACCAGCACCCTCGACCAAAC